AACATGAACCTCACTTGAAGGTTCAATATTGAACATGATTGAACTGAACCTGAACCTGAACTTGACCAAAGTTCAGTTTCAGTTCGGTTCATAGGAACACTACCTATATTAATAATACTTAACTAGAAACCTCTAAATTTGATAATGGCTAAACATTATTATGTCGAAATCACAAACTTAAATGAATTGGCTGAAAAATCATTTGGCCAATTTTTATCAAGTGTTCTGGGAATTATAAAAATAGCTATAATTAAATGTGCTAAATTTTACAAATTTAATACAGATGAGGTAGAATTAGTGAATTGACTCATCTAAAAAATCTTCACCCAGGTTAATTAAAAAACAAGCTTAGGTGATTAATATCCTAAAAATAATACGTTCTAAAAGTGATAAAGTCTTTCATATTATTAAAAGTGCTTAAGAGCACTTAGGAATTTTTTAGACTAACCCAGCAGAAATATATTCAAGTTATATTTACATCGATATATCAATTTATTGAATCTATTATAAATTGGCAAAAAATTATTTAGCTAGATGTAGGGTAAGAGGCACAGAGTTTTTGGGCATGCTTTTAAGCTAAAAGGTATGCCCTTTTATTTGATATTTACAAAACAGATCAAATATAGTATAGGTGGCAAAATTTTCAGAAACACCGGCAAAGTAAAACTTCGCCGCATTACATAATCACATGGAGTGGCTTGACTTACGTTGATTTGCTGAATTTTCGTTTCACTACTAACCCTGAATTGGTTACACGATAAAGTCAACCACTTCATGTGCTCACATGAAGTGGCGAAGTTTAAATTTGCCAGTTCTTCTGGAAATTTTGCCAAAGGGTCACCAAGAAGAATAATGAACATCCAAAATCAAGATATTTCACATGACATGCAAAGAAAACGTAAAGCCAGAAATAATGAAACAGCTGAACAAAGAGAGACACGACTGGCTCATAATCATAAAAGGAAACGCAAAAAAAGAGTAGCAGAAACTACTGAAGAATGATCAGCGCATCTCGCTAGCAATCGGGAGAGCAAACAAAAAAGGTAAAAAAAACTAGAAAAAGAGCAAATGCATTGGAATGAGCAAGCATATGATTTAAATGTAATGAATAATGTTACAGAACAGACCAATAGTATAATTTCGGAGAGGCTTGACCAATCTCCATATAATGTGACCACATGTATACAGAATTCGGATTCTCAAAGACTTGATCAACTACGAAGTAATACTGATATACTTAATGAGCTAAATCAAGATACTCTTGACTAACTCCAAAGTAATGCTGATACATTTAATGAGCTGGATCAAGATACTCGTGATCAACCCGAAAATAATGCCGATATACTTGGTGAGTTGAATCAAGATATTCATGAGCAACCACAAAGTAATGCTGATACACTTAATGAACTGGATCAAGATGCTCTACACCGGTTTCGGGTTAAAATAAATCAGTTAAAGTACAATTTGTACCCTGTATATAATAAAAGCTTTTCATTAATCACATTATTTAAGTGAGAATGTAGGCGCTGTTTCAATGAAAAAACAATACCAAAAAAATTCTCATCCGAAAATAAAATAGACCCAGGCATAGTACCAAAAGAGTTACAGGATCTTACAGAAATTGAGGAAATATTTATAGCACAAGTATTTCCTGTAATGTCTGTCTACAGACTTCATGGGGGCAATTTGAGTACTGTAGACATGTAATAAATTTTTTTCAAGACGTGTATGAGTTTACAACAAGACTTCCATGACACCCATCGTCAATAGATATATTAATTATACGCTAGCATTCTGCAAATTCAACGGGCTTCAGGGATTTTACAGTTTGCCATAATAAAGTTGCTCAAGCATTATATTGGTTGAAATCAAACAACCGATATTATGCCGAAATCACTATTGACAGTGAAATACTTTAATCTTTACCCATTAATGGTTCAATAGACAATCAGCTTCCTAATAAAACAGATTCGCTCTCTGATAGCCAAATGGGTAATAATGAAGAGACAAATGATGAAAACATACATGAAACAATCATACGTACCTTTGTTTCATGTATCCCATCAACACATAGTGAAGAAGTTTCTATTAATAACACTCTGAATCGCATGCAAAGTAACAAGCACCCTACAACATGGCCACACATAGATAATAATCCAATTAATAAGTTTCAAACTCCGGAATACATTGCATGTGCCTTCTCGAGCCTTTACCCAAAAGGTCGCGCTGATCTTCAAACAGAATGTATTAGAGATGTTAATCTAGCAGAATATTTTTAGCATCTCCTTTTATACAAAGATGAAAGATTTGCACGTCACTCACGATGGCGATATTTTGTATTAAATTTTCTCATGTAGTGGAGAGCACTACAAGAAGGGAGAGTATATGTTAAACAAAATATGAGTAACAACCAAATTAGTGCCAAAGACCTTATAGATATGATTGAACAAGGCGACAATCATATCACCTATCGGAATATGCGATATGGAGAAGGTTTGCGTGGATCCCGGCAGTTTTGGATAGCATGGCGTAATGAACTATTTGATATGATTAGACAAATAAGCACACGTGGGCTCATTTTTTTTTACATTTAGTGCTGTTGATATGCATTGGCCAGAACTCCACAAGCTTATGCCACTCGACGAAAATCACGTAGGATCGAAAACAGCTAGTAATCATAAAAATATAGTTAATAATCCTCATATAGTAGCATGGTTTTTCAATAAGCATTTCACTGTTTTTTTTAATGAAGTGTTAAAGGAGAGGTGGAACTTAGAAGACTGGTGGTATAGGTATAAATGACAACATCGTGGTAGCGTTCATATTCATGGTATTAGGAAAAAACGAGATACATCTGAAATCAAGTGCGCTATAATAAAAGATGATGAAAATGTGATGAAAAATGTTGTAAAATATCTTGATAGTATAGTTACCACGATTAATCCTGGCCTTAATACACCTGTTCCTGATATTTATTTGTGTCAAAAGCATCTTGAAAAGCTAAATGATGATTTACAAGACTACATAGAATTGATTAATAAATTACAGAGGCATACAAGATGCAGTTCTTTATACTGTCTTCAAGTCAATAGAGCAGGCAACAATTTTGCAGGTTTGGATTTCCGAAGGAGAATATAAATAATACAATCGTGAGAGATGATAGACATGGTAGACCAGAACTTGTGACTGCAAGAAATGACTAATATATTAATACACATAGCCGATTTCAGTTGCAGGGATGGCATGCAAACGTAGACCTAAAACCTATTTTCACAACACATATAGCTTTGCAGTATATTTCTAAATATGCAAGCAAAGCAGAGCCGCAATCAGCAGCTTTCTTGGAAATATTGAATCAAATTCTTCAAAAAAGCAACCCCGAAGACCCAATTCTTATCTCAGTTCAAAAACTATTACTTCGTAGTGTTGCAGAGCATGACATCTCTGCTCAAGAGACTTGTTATCTTCTACTCGGGATTCTCTTATATCATTCAAGTTATCTATTTGTTTCTTTAAACCTTAATATTAAGACACCATGGTGGCTTAGTAGTACTAGTGCCAATGAAAACAGACAATACAATAGAGATGATGATGTCAGACGGACAGTAAAATCATCATTACAACATTATTGGGAATGATCTAATGAATTTGAAGATTTCACATTATTTCGGCTTAACTTAACCCACAAATTTAGCAGGAATAAATGGACACAATGTTAACAAGAAAATATAATATGCATCTTTCCAAGACCATCACCAATATGTAATGGCCCACAATGGGAGGATTTCTGTAGAGTAAAAGTTCTTCTCCACGTACGACATAGAAGTCTTGAGAAGCTTACTGAAAATAGCATTATTAGTTGGTCGACGTTATATGATCAATATTATGAAGAAATTAATGCGGATCTAGTTAACTTACTTAGATTTCCTATAAGTAATGAAGAAGGAGAGTCAACAGACGAAGACGATGATGAGGGAGAAGATATTGAAAATGAAGAAGAAGAAGAAGAAGAATTTCAGTTTGATTGGATGCTATTATCAAAAATGGGGCCAAATACAAGTATAGATAATTCATGTAATTTTGGGAAATCGTGACATTAATCGAAATTATAGATGGCTTGATGAAGCTAGACAGCACTATTTAGATACAGATCTTATAAATGCCAACACTTTCATAAATCAGGCAAATAGAAGCAGATTCAGATGTTATAAATTATCAAACTTTGAATGAAAAACAAATGAAAGTATTCAATAGAACAAAATCACATTACTATAGTATGCTTTCAGGTTACCAAATTGAGCCACTAAAGATAATCATAATAGGAACAGCAGAAACAGGTAAATCATACTTAATAAAGGCTATTCGAAATCAACTCTGCCAGATGGGAGAAACCAGGGCTAAACCTCCAATAATAGTGCTTGCACCAACGGGTATTGCAGCCTTTAACATTAATGGAGCAACGATTCATTCAGCACTTTTAATTGCTATAAACGAAAACAATAATCAAAATTTAGTGGAGGAATGATTAAAGCGACTACAAGAGAGGTTAGAAGGCATAATCTATGTTATCATAGATGAGAAAAGTATGGTTGGACGCCGAACACTTGCTTTAATTGATATACATTTACGTTAAGCCTTTTCAGAACATAAAGATGAGCCCTTTGGTGGCAGATCTGTTATTATGGTCGGTGATTTTGGTCAACTTTCACCTGTACTTGATTTTCCGATATACATTAATGTTATACGAGATTCATTATCTAATAATGGCCATACTGTTTATAAGCAGTTTCAGGAGGTATACAAGCTTGACATTATTCAAAGACAATCTGGTAATTCAGAAGAACAACAGGAATTTAGAGACATTCTATTAAGGCTACGTGATGGAAAGTCTACATTAAATGACTGGAAGGTACTTATTACACGACTCGAAGAAAAGTTAATGGGAATAGAATGTACACAGTTTTTAGATGCTATGTTCGTAATACCGAAATGGTCTGATGTAAACATTGTAAATATAGATAGACTCAGATCTTTAAAAGCCCCTGTAGCAAAAATTCTCGCTATACATACTGGTGGTTTAGAAACTAAAAAAGCAGATTCTGATACAGCATATAGTCTTGAAGCCCAATTATTATTAGCATGAAGCGTCTGGGTTATGCTGATAGCTAATATATAGACAGAAGCAGGACTTGTTAATGGTGCAGTAGAAACTGTCCAGGATATTTTGTTTGGAGATCAAGGACCACCTGTCCTCCTTATAGCAGTATTTGTTACCTTTGATTTTTACAAAGGTCCCGCAATTAGCAACTTAGAAAGAGTAAGAGTTGTCCCAATTACGCCCATTCGACGCACTTGTAAAGGCAAAACTGGAATTACCTACTCATGGCTTCAGATTCCTCTTCATCTAGCCTGAGCAATTACAGTACATAAAAGCCAGGGACTTATGTTACCAAAAGCTTCTATAGATCTTGGTAGTAGAGAATTTATAGCAGGTCTTTCATTTGTAGCGATT